TCAAAATTGATATATCCATTCAAAAATCAAACTCGAAAATTTTAACGAAAACGATACTTTCTCCATATACTATGTATAGGGGGAGAAAGTAAAAAAATAAAACTAAGGTAAAAACTTATGTAACAACAATCATCATGAAACTTAAAACCTAAAGGATACTGTAAGTAACTGAACAATAAAACATTTGAAAGTTTATTGCAAAATCACGGTATCATGTGGTTCTTCGTAAACTTTTAGAGATTTAGTTATTTGATTTGCCTTGACACATTCTTTGAGTTTTCTAGCCTTTGCTCACAATTTTCTCCATTTGTTGTACTGTTCCAGTATTTCCAACACCTCCCTGCTCTTGCTTCTCGTAGTTTTCTTCTATACAATTTCAGCACTAACATTTTCCTTTTGTTATGGACAGAGACTCGTGCACTCCATTTATTGATGTGAAGTGATGAAACAGAAAAACAAAATTATATTGTAAAATTTTTTTAAATTAAAGCAATATGTAAACTTGTTCTTAATATCAATATAGGCATTCTATGGAATCAGTTTCGTTTGGAAAAATATAGTTTAGTCAAATTAGCTAGTTTTACTGTATTCTTAATAAAAAAAGCCACTTATAGCTTTGTTTCTCTATTATAAAGGAAATGTCACAGCATTTTTTTCTCTGTGGTTATAGTATCAAATTACAAAAGCAATAAATTCCATATAAAATGTTTAGTTCAATTACTATTCAAATTTGGTAAAAAATGAGTAAACATCTAAAACTAAATACACCAGATTCAGTACTGTAACATATCTCAATATTTTCCCCGACTACTAAGGATTACAGTATACAGTAAGTAAATCTCATTAAAGTTTTTTTTTTACATTAAAGATTTTCTTTAAAATTTTATTTGAACATTTTTATAGTCAGAGTCTCAATATTTGTTTTGGTAATGCTACTTTTCATTTATGTCTACCAGATGTTAAACAATTTTCTAGTTGATATGAGCACACTCTGTAGAGTTTTTGTTCAAACAACTCAAATCTTGCTCAACATAGTATATTTAAATGTGCACGAATGATAGTTTTATCTTTGTGGTCTAAACTGAGATGATTTCTAATAGGATTATTGGGTAATTTGCATCACAATCATTTTAAAAGATTTCCAAATTAGCTTACAAACAGTTTGTACAAAATCTATGATCCGTATACACATAAAACTACTAAAAGTATGAAAATCAAGTTCTTAGATCTCATTATTGAACATGAACTCTCATCAATACATATTTGTTATTATTTTTGTTATTCTTTGTGTGCAACTGGAGGCTTGGTCCTTTACTGAATTATCTGAAATCCTCAAACTTCCTTAGGGAGAGGATAATAATATGCCAACTTGAATACCATTTCACACGATGATGGAAGGGAAACGGACAGAAAAGCAACTGTCAACCCCATGTCTGAAGAATTCGCAAGGGTAGGATCGAGACGCGCCTCGGTTCGACTCGTGCAAATAAGGAACCATGAAACTAATCTCCTATTTATTACGAGGGTAGAAAAATACATGACTGGTTCATAAACTCTATTAGTCACGTGCACGTCTCACAGACTACATCACTGATTCTGACATTTCCCCTACAACTTAATAGATACCAAAATAACGTTTTGTCAACAAACGTCTTGATTATCATGACACTGAAATTAAATATGATTCCTAAATAGTTGACAGTTACACTTCCCGTATATTTCAACGATTTCCATGTAATGAAATTGCGATTGGTAGCAATGATAGTACAATACTTCATACTTTACTACACCATGAGGTTTTTAGGATATCATACTCATAAAGAAACCTACGCTAGATATTAAGAATTTTACTCACTATTCCATCCTGAGTTGAATATGTTGATACTGCATCGCCATAAATGAAGATGTAATGCATTGTTTCCATGGTTTTAAATTATTTTTACAAATTTCAAAATATAAACAGTTTAGTTGAATTGCCTGGTGACAACTACAGAATTTACTTTCTTTGTTTTACTTTGCTATAACGTTTAACATTTTCTCCCTTACCTACCCTATCCCAAGGGTGTTATTCTATACCCCCTGCCTGTAAGTATGCGGAATATATATTGGAATCCATGCCCCCAAATAATTAATGTTTTCGAGGGAATGAGAAAAATAATAGTAATACCCCCGCCGCAGCAAACCTGCAGACTAAGCGAATTTCCATTAACCTGATTGGATTTACACTAAAATGCCTTCATAAAATAGCACATTTATTTCCTATTTAAATAGAAGTAGTTTAACGAGTACTTAGGTTTGCTGCAACAGGGAGGGTATAAAAGATTTTTTTATAAAATGATAATAGTTTAGTAAGAAATAAAAGTATTTTCCAAATTTGATCAAAATATGTTCATAAACAAGCAAACTACAACAGTTGACTTATTCTCCATAAGAATAACATGGGAATTTTAAAATTACAATTATTTGAATTTTCTCCGTAACAATTAGGCGCATAATAACGCTTCAATATACTAAATTATTTGTTTTTTTAAGCTCTACAAAATGGTTTAAAAATAAATTGTGAAATTTTGTGTTTTTAGGGTCAAAAATTGAAAAAAGCCTATTTTTACCCCATAAAACCCCCCATAAACCCCCGTTCCCATAGTCCGATCATGCTGGTTCGCGAACTCATTCAAGTTTATCCCGCCTTACACCTTCAAACCAAATTTTATCAAAATCGGACAAAAATTACTCAAGTTATCGTGCGGATTGACACACACACACACACACATATATATATATATATATATATATATATATACATTTGAACGAACGGTGTTTTTGGCCTCTGGGGACATCAAAATGAAAAAGTAAATCGGTCCCGGGCTTGGGTCTTACCATGAGACCTACGGTAATAGCTACTTCCCTATAGGGAAATTCGCTAAAAGAATTAAATATAGACTGTCAGCCGTGCTGCGGTTACCATAGGTTTTGGCGCACACCGCTGGAAGCGCCGTGGAGTTACGTAGCGTGTACGCCGTAACTACATGGCGCTCCAAGCGGTTTGCACCAGAACGTATGGTAACCGCAGCACAGCTGACGGTCTATATTTAATTCTTTTTGTCTATGGTAGTAGAATGTGTGATGATCTGTGTAGCTTTATTACTGACTATGATCAGCTGTTTTAGTCAGGATCATTTATTTAAAGCCCTCTGATAAGGAACAGCTGGGTCCTGTTTCCAACCATCAAAAATACTGACTTTACTCAATTCGGCAACCTTTTGATTGTTTAACTATTAATCAGTCTGATAATAAGGCTCATGCATTCTGGGCCTTTAGAGATGAGCACCACAAGAAAGATTATCATGCAGCTCCTGTTGTACAACTGGTGAGGAATGAACATTGTCATAGACACAAGTAAATGATCTGCAATTCTACCTCGAAGGGTAAAAAACTAGATATGCAAACTGCAAGAGATCTAGGGGTTTTGGCAACAACACCATACTTTCCACCAAAGCAAAGTAGGGAGAGGTATAATTCTACATATTCTTGAATAATAGTTGCACTTGTTTACAGTTAATAAATCCATTCATTATCTTTTCTATTGCTTTCCTTCTTGAGTTAAAAGTTGATATTGGCCCTAGTTTTGCCATGTAGTACGGCATCTTCAGAATTTTGTGGGACTTGCTCAAAGAACTAACTAAATAGTCCTATGTTCTTAAAAAAAGAGAAAAAAGGTGACAGTTGCTGGTATACATTTAGATGAGCCGGGATGTCTCTACTGCAGTACTTATTCTATAATGAATTGTATTATTCATGTTGCTAAATTAATTGTTCATTGAACAAGTTATAATATGTTATTTAACATAAAGTACAGCAGTACTTTAATTTTTTAAACTATGCTACCCCTTTTGCTTTTACTTCTAGTTATTATTTGTACCTCTGACCTTCATTAGGTCTACTATAACTACCTTAAAATCTAACAGCTTAGTTAACTAATTATAGTTCGGCCGCTTAGAAAACGACCTGCGCGCTAATGCTAAAAAATGCTGGAGGAGGTCGTTTTCTAAGCGGCCGACCTATAGTTCCATACACTAACCAACACAAACACAAGTAGACTTCTCATCACATTGTACATTTTGAAGCTAGTTTTTCGTGTCATAGCACGGCCACCTGTCACAGGCCCTAGAGGAGTATGTTTTATCTATGGCCCTAGTTCAGTCGTGTCTAGATTTTTCGTTCTTATAGATCAGCTGAAAACAATTTTATTGTTAGTTCTGTCTGGTGTACTATAGAGGTAGTTTTTTGTTTACAAGTTGTTTCTTGTTATTTCAGTAATTTAAAACCTCGTTTAACCAAATAAAATGATCAAATCATAAACAATAACTCATTCGTCCCATTTAGCTATACAAGGCCCCACTAGAAACACTAGAACAGTTTTTCTATTGAGGCATTGAGCTATATAACCAAACAAAAAAGCACAAATAATTATGAAACCAACCCTAAAATAATATAAACCTAATTTCGTCGACACTAGCGATCAGTGTCACCAGACATGAACTAGACACAAAAACGAGCTTCAAAATTTACAATGGGAAGAGAAGTCTACTTTGTTTTTATGTACCAAGGGAGCAGTATGTTTTACCATAGATAAAACATGGTTTTACTTTTACGTTTTACTATAGATAAAATATACTCTTATGTTTTAACTATGGTTTTACCATAGATAAAACATACTCCTGGTTTTACCTAATGTTAGTATCATAGATAAAACTATAGATAAAACATCTAAATTACTATGAGATTTTCCCACAAAGAATAAATAAAATAAATTCTTTAACCGTAATTCATTTGGTGTTCTTGGAAAACAAGACTGAGTAATTAAACTACTTAAAACTTCATGATTGATATTCAAGTACTGCATATAGAATTCGTCAAGTAAACTTCGCTGTGTTCATCGATATCATAAAAGCCGTTGTTGACAGCTAAACCAAGTTCTGTTACCTAGTGAGTGCAGACGACATCGTGTAAAGCAGAACATTTCGCGTAATGTAGTTTAAGATGTTTAGGTTTCTAAATTTAATCCTAAATCCGTGAAATTGTGAATAAAAAAGTACAAGTTTCGTGTAAATATGAAGTATAGTATGAATGCTAAGTATGAACAACTATCTAAAAGAAGTTCCGGCTCATTGATTGATGACGAGAGCATCGGTTCTCCTGGGAGTCAAAGTTCTGGAAAGGTAAATATTTTTTGTTGCATTACTAATATTATTGTTTATTGAAATTTTGTTAGAATTATTTGCATCTTATATTTGTATAAACATCACAAATTAGAATCCCTTTGTATGGCTCAAGCAAATATCTCGTTCAGTTATAGCTTAGGCCTATCCTATGGTAAAATTCGCCTAGTCAGGCTCAAAATGTGCAAGTTAGCAAAACGTTCGGTTTCCCAATAATTTGCACACGTCCATGTTCACTCTCTCGGTAGTTTTAACATTTTAGCGTTAAGACCACCGAGTAGGCCTATATTTTTTTCATAGTGATATTGTGGAGATGATTCTAGTGCTGCTGCCATTCACAAATATTGACTTGGGTAAGATGGGGGTGTAAGCTAACCCATAATACAGTACCTACCTAACAAATGATGTTTAGGCCTACTCAATTAGAAATAGCCTAAATTGTATTGGAATATATAGCTTAATTTAGGCTAATAACAACACAAGTATCATAAAATGAGCTACCGTAACTGCTTAGTTTTGGCTTTGTAATACAAACTAGCCAACCTGGCACACGGAATCGTGCACAATCTAGGAACAGAATTCCAATAGGGAAGATATATTTCAATGAGCAAAAGGAGGAGAGAATTAAATTGTTGCAGTTTGATCCTAGGAATCAGTTTTTACTTGCCAGAAGATGAGAATGATAGTGTCAAATCACGATAATGACTGTGATGCCATGATGACAACGATGAGCCCTGACTACATAAAAAACTATAGTGTTGCGATACATTCTTTAAACACGCATAGTACATATTTCTTTAATCAAGCCTGACGTCTTATCAAGATTCCTGATTAGCATGCCGGTAACAATGACGTTTTCCTTGAGCTTGAGTATATGAGGTGGTAGACCGCTGACAGAGAGGCTGTTACAAAATTTGTTATTTCAAGCAACCTGAGGCAGTACCGGCTTGCCAAATGGCCTCGTGTAAACGCGCCATTGAATTTTGCTTACTGTGGAAATTAATTTTTTAGGCTTGCAATCGGAAAGAAAAACTTGACTTGAGTAATATGGTCATGTCAGGAGTATGGATAAAGCCCCTTGCCCGTCAATACCTTAGTTTTAATAGGCTATAGGCCTAAGAATGCTTTTGTGTTTAACTTCTACCTATTTGAGAAGTTCCTGTTTAGTTATTATATTTTTTTTTCTCTTATTTATTTGTTAACGCTAACTTACATACACTTTTCATAATTATGACAGTAGCCTTCATTATGCCGGCGGATTTATTTTTGATGTACTTTGCTGCCTAAAGTAATTGTAACAAAGCTTCGATAATTTTCAAATTTACTTTTCTCTCTACCTCCTGCCAGTCATGTAGGGCCTACAGTAGTTCAGTTCAGTCTAGATGGATTCTTGTGAAGCAAAAGGAATCTATGTAAGTTACAGGATTCTTTCACAAATGCCATACTTAAACTGAAGAACTTGTCTTGTTTCTGGTAGTTTTTATTTGTGAATACAAGGTTAACTGTAAGAAAGGACCAAATGGCCCTAATTGTTCGCCTCAATAAATAGTATTTTCATTCATTCATTTTCATCAAGTTTTTGTGATCTCGGACTTCGAATCAGCTGGTCTTAGTTACTTTCTTTACTTTCTCATCACTGCCGCTGTTTCGACTGGGGTTTTGTCAGGGTGTCATCAAAGTCTCTCAGGTAGTTGCGGTGTTCTCTTAGTAACTGTAGCGAACAGTTAGTTACACCATGGATTAAATCAATGGTAACACATTTATTGTCATTCATTAGGCCTACATACGCCAAAATCCTACCTTGATTTTCACCTTACTTGAATCTAGGTGTGTTGACTGTCATTGTACAATCATTTCTTTTTTCTATAATCCATGTTATTCTACAATTTTTGTAAACGTTTTTTACAAACTTCGCCTTGATTGTAAAACTTGACCTCTTTTTGAAAATAGTCACTTCACGCCCTAGTGATGAAATGTACTAGCCTATTATTTTACCTAACTCAACGGTATGCTTTTTATAACATTTTTCAGTAGTTTATAAAGTTTAAAAATGCAAAAATAGAACTTCTATTATACCTATTATCTACTGAATATTTTATTGTTCCAAGTTTATAAGTTCAGGTCTCATTAAACAGTCCCAGGATCTTTTTAATTCTGTGGAGTACAAAGTAGGCCTAAGCTAAGAAAAAAAAAGTTTTGAAAAATTTTACTAGACGACAGGTTTTGTAGTACATTATTTACAATCGATGGCATATTTCAAACACATGGTTTGTTTAAGTTGTAATCTTTCATTTAAAACTAAGTTCCATATTTGAATAAAGTTCTAATTAAAACAAATCAGCATTTTACTAGCCTACTTATAAAGCATGCTTATATTACAGTATAAACATACAAGGACACAGCAAAGCCTGAATCATTTGTACACTTCAAGTGACACTTATCAGTTGAGCATTATGCATAACTTTTAAGTGCAGGCACCAATCAAAATAGTATTTCTCTCATTGATTTTTATTATTTTTAACCTAAACTAATCACGACATTACATTAAATTTTAGAAACTTGAAATAAATAGGCTAAATAAATTGTATCTTAATACCTAATATCTTAATCCTTAACTTCAATCTTTAGTATCTTTACTTTTAATCTTAATCTTATTTGTATCTTTATTTTTTGATACCTACCTAACGTTTTATCTTAAAATGAAGAATTATTGAGTTTGATAGATTTTTTTATTTTTCTTACCTAACATATAACTCTTATATGAGTGTCATATTATGTGTTTAGATAATATATTAATTTCTAATATCAAATTGTTAATTAAGACTTTAAGATATAGGCTATTATGGTTTCTCTGCGTATCCCTTTATTGAAAGATAAAAGTGACAATATAACCTCACATGTTTGAATCAATTCAGTAGGCTTACAAACCAAAAAGTAAAAGATCTTTCCTACTTACATGAGCATCCCAAAGCACATCCAAAAAACATCCAAAGGACTTGGAATGGCTTCCCTTAAAAGTAACTGCCATACTTCAAAATGCCAATGATCTAGCGACAAGAAAATTATATTTTCTTCTATTATTGTACAAAACTTGCTATGTTTCAAGGCTATCTCCAATGTCAATACAGACGTGTGAAAACACTTCTATCCAAAAGCAAACAAGTATGTCTAAGAAGGACGACTATCAGTCCAACATGAACTTTGTTTTTTCCTCATTGAGCCAATGGAAGTTGTGTTTGTCAAACTAATATTGGTCTTGATAGTTGAACACAGGATACCGACACTCATTCTATATCAGTGTTATATGACGGACTGTTGTGTGTCACATTCCTCTGTTTCTTTCGGGGCAGTTTGAAGTTTTATCTTAACATGACGGAAAGTGAGCGGGCGGGAACGGAAGATCCGGATGCTATAGAATTAGAAAGTACTTCTGAGCCTCAGTTGCCTATTAGTGATTCTTTGGTTGTTGGATTGTGTGATCTTCCCGAGAAATGCCGGAAAAAGGTAGAAGTAAAAAGTAGTTTTTATGTTTGTAATTTAAGCCTAGTTATTTTGTTAGAATAAATGGGCGCCTTTTAAGCTTTGAATTAACATTGAGGTTATTCATGCACACACATTTCTTATTATTAATTAATAACTTATTAATAACTTTGTCCATTGTCCTAAAATAGATGTGTTATGGGACTGCTTTTAAATTTTCAAATGTAAATCCCCATTGAGTGAAGCCTTATTTAAAAGGTTAATCCGAAAGAACAGCATATTTACAATATTCCTTTCACAAAATTTAGGCGGTTTGAGGGGAAGTGATTCCATCCCCTCCACCTCACTTAAACTTTGAACAGCCGATAGCTGATCAGCTGATGTAAACATTAAGCTAAAAAAGTGGTGGGGGAACCCAGGATACCTTCCCCTTAAACCGTCTAAATTTTGTGAACATACTATAAAGGTCTTTTACTCAGTACTAAGTGGCAGCCATTTCAAATTTAGATAAAATCATGAGCATTTGTGTAGGGATAGTACGGATGCATTATTAAAGCTCTCATAATGTATTTCTGGAGAACTCAAACCTAGAGCATCATGAAAAATCCTTATAAATTCTCTTTTGTACTATAGTTTTAGTAACTGACACCAATATTTTCGATATTTTCAAGCAACTTAAATTTTTCAGAGAAATTCCTTTAAAAAGCAACAGCGAAAAATAGCCACAATTGGATATCAATATTATAATCCAACTCAAAATAAATGACAAAATTCAGTGTTGACAAACTGATGCTGATTAAAATCAGAAGAAATTATGCCTTGAAGAAATAGGCCTAACACAGTTGCTATTTCAATACAAGTTCAATTTTATTACTGAGAAAAGGGTGCTAAGTTTGTTTTACCTGTTAAAAGTTCAAAAGAGGTTTCACTACTTTTTATTCACTTTGGATGGTTAAATATTTGATGAGTACTTTCTCAGGTGACTTTGTAGTCTGCCACTTTACTTTTTTCTATTTTATGAAAATGGTTTTCATATCTTGAACATTATTTCCTCTGCTCTATGTGTGATATTTCAAGTTTTTAGTTATATTATCATAGACCAGTAAGACCTGCTAATATATTTTTTTAAAACAATAACAGAAACTAGTTTATGTTTGTTTCGTTGAACATCTGCTTCCAATAATAGGTTTTGTTAATAATTCAAATCATACAAAATACAGTATTTTCAATGTATTTTCCTAAGCTTACAGTGTTTTTAACATCTTTTACAATTCTTTTCTTTTATTAGAGTGTTGTGATCCATACCGTTTCCGTTCTACTATTTGTTTCTGGCAGTCTTTAGAGAAAAAGTTTTTCTATTCGCAATGGAATAGTCATCTTATTGACATAATTCTTACTACAACATTAGGTTCCTTTTAGGTAGCTGGCAATGTAAATACAGCATGTAAATGTTTACTTAAAACTCTCTAATTCAAAAATTGAGTTTCATGGTTTCATCAAAACAACTTGCATTTGTTTACAAAGGAGGTCCCAGTAAATTATCAGTACGGGTAGTGGTCAGATAACTGGAACTTGTGTTTAACCAGCACATACTTGAGTCACTGATAAGAATACTAGTTTTTCTGTTGTCATTGCCAAAATGCAATTAAGAGATACTGAAATATTTGAATAGTAAGTTCCAACCCCAAAAATTGTTTTTGATATGCCGGGGATTGCACCTTCCGTAATGTTTCAGCTGTATTTTATATAAAAAATGTAACTACATATTTAACGTTATTCTCCATGGGATTGTAGTTTTGTATGGTAGGAAATTATTTTGATTGGTAAAAATAAATAACAACTGTAGATTTGTGTGCAGGTAAACTTGTCTTGTTTCTTAAAACCATAAAATTTAATAAACTATTAAATAGCTATTAGCTGCGGAGATCTTCTTTGCTTGATAATTTAGGTCCAAATAGTAGTATATCAGTGGAAAACTACTAGAAAAACCTTTTAGTATTAGTTGTTTAAACATGTTGATCTTCGAAGTCAAAGTTTTGTTCATTATTATCGTCTTCATCTTTTACCCAATAACGAATTGATGGTGTCAGAAATTAAATACCGTATACACAAAATAAATTTAAAAGAAAGTATACGAAATACAATATCTTATTAGTCCAATATGTACCGTGAATTGTTTTGTGGTTGGATATATTTTATACTTTATACTTTTCATTTAAATGGCGACCATACAAAGTAGGTATTTTAAGCCAAGTGTGAATATTATCATGTACCTACCTCCCTTAAAATTATAATATAATTATGAGCAGCAACATTTTTGGCATCTTCTGATTTTGAATTTTACAAATTTAGTTGAGCGCTCTCTCAATTAGTTTTCTTTGATATATTTTAATAAGTTGCGATTAGGGTACGGTTCTATTAAACAATTTTGTAGAATTTAATCTAATGTCATTCGGTATTTTCCACAAAGATTTCAGACCTTTTTGCAAGCTTAACATTTCAACATTTCTGATTTTCTTAGGACTGAGAAATAGGTATTTACTAAATTAATTCGTAAAAGATTGATGAGAAATTGATACTACCAACACCAAAGTAAAAAAAAACCTTAAGTTGTTTGAGCCACTGACGATTGTGTTCAGATTTAAGCTACTATGAGCCCAACTGCATTTTTAGTTTAGAATGGATACACTGATACAGCTAGGTTATTACCGTATCAAATATCTCATTATGTAGGTTTTTGCTTCAGGGAGTGGAGGGGGTTTAAATGATGCTGTGTCAAATTGAAGGCCAGTAACTATAAAGGAGGGCTCATTATTTTGAACGCAGATGTTATTTTATTTTTCATGTTTTGCAGTGGTTTTTATTTCATAACACCTTCAAAACTTTGGAAGATATAGTTATATAAAAAAATTACTGAGAGGATATTTTGGCTCTTGACCAAACATTCTGTTTCTTTTGACAACTCATTTATACTTAGACACAATTTGAAGGACAGCATATACAAAAATATAGTGTGTTAAAAAGTTGTTTGTTAAGTTGTTGTACTTTCCACTGATTGTAATTTCTAAATTACTCTATACAACTTCCTTGCCAAAAAAAATAACCCTTAAATAATTGGGTGTTTTGAATTTTCCTTTTGGAATTCCTATACAAGCTTTGCATACAATAATAATCCATTTTATTTGTTTGAAAATGTATATTGTATATCTTGTAAATCGTAACAAACATGGCGTTGTGAAGCAATTACAAATACTTGGAATTGTAACATTATTAGTTTATCAGTAAGCCGAGCAGTGGGTTTTAGCAGACTTATGGTCTCCTCTTTTCTAAAACAAAAATTAAATAATTGTTTTATGTTCTAAATTCCAATCATTCTTTATTATTATTATAGTGATAGGTGAAAGAATGATGAAGTGTTATATATTTTCATGTTTTACAACTAAAAAACCTAAGAAATTCAAAACTTTGCTGTTTAGGTTTATTTTTGATTATTTTGTACTGATTCATTGAATAAAATGCAAGTTAAAATATCTGATTGATTGTTAATCTCAATACATATATATTCTTGTTTTCAACGCATTATCTTAGAGACTTATCCATCCGATAATGTATTATTTAATTGTGATTATTTACGTCTATGACTTATGTGCACTTAGGTGATTATTTAAAGTTAGATCCTGGCAAAAACCTCAAAAACCCAGATTTACATTTACAAAATTAAACACAATTTTTTAAGCGCCCTTTATTTGTTTCCTCAATTTTTAGCATAGTAATATAACATTTACCTTCCAACCATCAATTGACAATAAAAAATATATTTATTTCAAATACCCTTAACAAATTTTAAAGAGTTTTAAAACTATTAAACAAATACTTTTTAATGTGAAACAAATTTCCAACAAGCCCTGTCATTGTTTTTAACAGTGATAATTATCAACCGGTTTCTTTAATGACTTTTCACTTGTCTGCTACGTATTATTAGTTGCTGACAATAGAACAATTGTGGAGTAGAGGGGGGGGGGGCAGGTATACACCTGTGCCTGTCAGTTTTCAGTATGTCAGGAGACTGACAACTGGCCATGCTGTGTTGTCTATATATATGACCCGTACGTCCGTCGTCTGTACAGTGCAAACTTACCTGTGCCGGCAAACAGTGACCTTGCGTCCAGTGGCTATGTGCTGATCGTTTATCTATTCACAATGATTCATTCTTCGGATGAAGTCGTATCGGAAATCGAGATCTCGGAGTGCGAGGACATAAAAAATAAAAATGCGGTGGAGGCGCTTGTTCTATCCGTGGATAAACTGAAATCTCCGGAGGTGATCGGCGACAATGATGAAAAGGTAGGATGTATTGAGCCAGGGTGTGGAGTGTGGTTGGTCTAGTTGGACTATTGTGAAGGTGTGGGTTCGAATCCTGACAATAACTGAGTTAGCTACCCAACTTAATTTGGAGCCCAACTTAAGCTGAAATTACACATATTTACTAAACAAAATACAAAGGCCCATTAAGTAAGCAGTTATGCTGTATTGGGGAATATTCTCCATTAAAAGCCACCTGATAACTAACTATAAAGTATTAACTAGGGATTAAGTATCACTTGTTAGTACTTTAATAAATAGATAACAGGGTCCACCGATAACGCTTAGTGGAAATGTATGTTTCAGATGTATCAACCTGTATCGTATTTTTATTTATTATAGTTTTAAAATGCTACACAAAATACTGTAACAATGGTTAATTGTTAACTTTTTTCCCTAGTGGTTTAGTATGGAGAATGAATTTGAAACCGTGTTGGATCCTTTGATTTCTGATGATGTAAGTACTTTTGTCACTTAAAAGTGGGCTTTGGGTTTTTACTGTCTTCTAGAAAGTTTTTTCAATTTTTGAAATAATATCGTTAACCTATTTGTGCTGTAAATATTTTTATTTAACCTCACCATTAATTTTGATGGTTTGATTGGAAATAATTTAATTAATAATATTTAATATTAATACACGATTTTGATTATTTGACTAATTACATATTACTATTGAACATACTATTGAACATTGTTTTTCATTAATTATACTTTCTTTTACGCTTGCACGGTTTGAATTTAACAAAGTTTTTTTTTCAATGAATTAACTTATTTTAAGCTCTTACAAAATGTTTGAAATATTGTCTAATCATTTTGAGTGTGGCGAGCCCTATAACTATTTCTGTAATATAATTTTATTACTGTTGATATTTGTGTTTTACTGTCCAACTAATAAAACTTTTATATTTATTTACAGCTTGATACACCTAACTTTAAAAATACAATTTTTTACATGTCATAAACTTTAAAACCAGTATGGGTTTAAAAGTTTGATTTTATTTTGAGACTTTGTGGTTGTAAATCTATTATTATTTTCCATTTTAATTTTTCATCGCTTTTTTATATTACTGTGCTTTCCCGAAGCTCAACCATAGACGAGCTTTAACTTTTCTGCTCTAAAATATACAGACTGCCAATTTTTGAATACTCTAAGCTCTACGCTAAGAACTAAATAGCCAGGATTTATTGAACTTAAAATATATGCGAGGTAGGACATGTCTCAAAGTATGTCCTCACTTTAAGCCGATAGCTCTCCATAACTACATTACATTAACTTTAGAGAAACTTTTAAAGCTAATAAGTAAATTCTGCAACCGGTAACATATTTTATTGTTGAATCATCTTTTGGAATTGGTCAAACTGTAAACATAAAATATTATTCAATGATTTGCAATTCAGGATTTTATGTTGTTGTTGTTTTTATCCTCATAATACGTAGTTCAGTTAGTAAACTGTAAGTACTGTAGTACAAAAAAACTAACATTAGGTAACAGTGTCAAAGTTTAACGAACTTTTCAAAATTCGTAAAGGTCAGACGGTAAAATTCTTTTCTCTTTGAACATTTACAGTTTGTACTTTCTTTTTGGTCGTTAAGGTTATTGTTTCTATATTTGCATTAACAGAACAGTGAGTTGCTGATGACCTAAATTGTACTTTTGTGAATCAACGTCGTGTTCGGAGTGAATAGTGATGACTTATCCTGACAAATTTGAATATTCATAGTACACCGCCCTACTTGGTAATCGGTTGTTAATATTCATTATGGTAAATCCGAAATCCTCTGCATATCAGTTTGATAAGATAAACTAACTTTCAAAGGACCACTTTGATTGATTAGGGACAATTTTAAATTGTTTGGCTTAATTTTGATCGTTAACTTTCGTACTAATGAAGATTAATGAAGATAGTACAAACGGTGTCAGTAATCTGACACATTCTTTCTCCCATTAGCTTTTCAACAACCCTTAACATAGGTAAGGGGAGGAAGTAACTATGATATTTTATGGGTAAAATCACAAAAATCACAAGCAACTTTTAAACCATAGTTTTTTCAGCAATGGGGGCTGTACTATTTTATTTAGAGGTAAAAGGACTATAACATACTAAGTTTTAATCAAAATCCATCGAGCCATTTCCATATCCAAAATATTTAATTAAAGTTTAATTTATATAAATTGTTGACTGGCTGGGTAGCTGTTTATAGTGCCCGCCTAACAATCAAAAGGTTGCCGGTTCGATCCAGAGAAAAGTCAGTAACTTTTTGGTGGTTTGAAACTGGACCCAGCTGTTCCTGATCATTGGGCTTTAAATAAATGATCCTGACTGATGAAACAGCTGATCTTGGTCAGCAAAAAAGCTACACAGATCATTTCACGCCATTATACACTCATATTTTGGTTATAATACGCGCTTAGAGTGTCCCCCTCAAAATAACAATGACAATAACAATATAAGATATGAACTTTATTTATGCTGAATTCATTTAATAATGCTAGTAGTACTTTTGTTACTGGAACCCCTACATAACATGACATACTTTATCAATTTTTATGTCTGTTTGAAACTTAAAGTGGTTTATGACAAAATCCCGTGATTGTTATCATTGGAGCAAAAATTAGCTCCATTTAATCGTAATGTAACACAGCCGATCACATTGCACCCAACTTTTCTAGATAAATGTCCGTAATGGGGTGATAAAAAAGTCCATTTACTTTTGATAGCTGCATTTTAACTAATATTAATGTCATACTACCGAATTACTCTGGATTTTGAGCAACAGGATTACTGTTATTCATTACTACCATTATTGTCAACTAGAAAACAAATTGCAATTGTTATGTGCAAATTCAGTAGTTTTATAAAGATTAGCTTTAATGCATAAAGCTGAAATACATACATGCCATTTTGTTTATTTTACAATTCAGTTATAAAAGGAATATAGTCAATGTAATATTAAAGCTACATTGGTTAACAATAAACATGAAGGTACAAAACACGTATATAAATATCTGTCTCAATATGTAATGCACAATGTTGGGGACTGCTCATTACAAACCACACAGCATAAACAATTAACAATTGATAATTAAGTACCAAACCATTCACTATTAAAAAATTCAAAGCTATTGATTGTTTCCACGTGTGATACAAAAACCATTACATTTTGTTATTAACATACTAAAACAGCGTGTGTTTTAGCAAACGACAAGGTCTCTTGTAAATTCAATGTTACGTAACGATGAAGTTGATAATAACAATGTTGGGAATAACTTGTTATTTAAGCTTCCTGTAGAGTGATATTTGTACTTTGAATTGCGTACAATTGTTTAGCTGAGAGAACTTCATTGTATGCTAACAGAAACACTGGATGTAAATTTTCACATCAGTGTCATCTGATATAGTTGCAACGTGAAGGATTTTTTTCACAGAAATAATATATATAGTTTTTATTTTGTTATTGAATATATTATTTAACACCTGTTTATATTTTGTGTTTCCGAATTAGATTTCATGTACAGTCTTTATTTTGTTAAATGTGTTTCAGGACTAGCAGACTTCTTATTGTAAATATTTTGTAAGTTTTGTTTATTTAATTTATAAATTGGGTGTAAGAGCGTATTAATCTACAATTTAGTTAGAGTTAATTCTCCTGTGTAATCAGGTCAGCTCCCTAGTAGTACTTGCTTAATTAACCTACTAACCAATACATAGCGTCCGATATGTATACAACTTGAAATTGCTATTGAGCTCTACCTAGTTTTCGAGGAGAGCGATCTGCAATATCTTATTTTGGAGTTTTGATAAGAAATCCAATTTTGCTATTTTTAGTCAATATTTTAAATTGTTTAATTGTTTTTACCAGGATTTTGAATACTTTTTGTGTATGAGCAAAGTTTTAATGAAATTTTAGAAAACATAATTGTGTCAGTTCATTTTATTATATCTTGGTCAGTTCATTGAACAATAACAAACTTTCAAAGATGTTTCTAAGCCTCGAAGGCTTAGGCTATTTATTTCTAAACAGTTGAACCTGTAGGGAAACAGTGAACATTTATGCCTGGAAGAATTTTTATAGATGTTTCAAGTTCGTCCATTTACTAAAAAAATTCATACAAAATTGTTTTCCATGGAAATACTTAAAACATATTACAAATTGAAATTACTCTTTGGCAAGAAAAAAAATTCTCAAATGTTTTCATTACAAATGACCATCCATTTTTCCTCCATTTTGCAGTGCAAATGAATGGCTATCTTTCCCCACAAGGCTTGAGACATAATTATTGTTTTATTCTTATCAAGCTTCAATTACCTAACCAAGTTTTTGTACATTTTTCCCCTTTGGTGAAGGTGTTGTAAAACACTTATCAATTATACTTAATTCTGTGTTACATTTGATATATAAGGGGTTTAAGTTTTTGGTTGGTTTTGAATATATTTGTAGTTACAGTAGCTATGAGGTATATCCAAGTAAAATTTGTTTCAGTAAAAAAAATATGATAAGTTATTTGTATATTTGTGATATTGTATGTGATATTGCTAAAATATCTTAGGAATTGTTTAGCAAGTGTTTATTCATTAGAAAGCTTGAATATGTTGGGAATAAGTAGTAGGTATCTTCATATATTAAACATCTATTAATTATATTTTTTGACATTTATAAAATATGTTGATGACGTTTTTTCACTTTCTTTTATAATGGATTGGAGCTTTAATTTGCTTGGCTACTAGTTCATTATTTTTTAAACATTTCAAATTTATCACCCACCAAAAAAATCAATAATATTAGTTTTAATAAAACTACTAGCGCCTTTGAAATTTTTAAGCTTACAAATTTTTATTCATACAAGTACCTGCATATTCAATAACTGTTGATTTTATACTAACGACATTTTCCCACAGTTACGTACCATTACTTACTGTATATATTACTTAAGGGAAAAACCCTCAACCGCAGCAAACTTGTAGACTTGGAAAATTTCCATTTACCTGGCTGGATATCCCCTAAATTATTCTCCTAAAATTTAGATTTATTCATATTTAAAAATAAAATTATTTTAATGAGTAAAATCTTCAAACAGCAAGAATAGTCGAGTTTGGTATCATTTTACAGGTCTTGACAAAACATAACAATTAACATAAAGAAAATAGAAATCGGACTTTTAATAACAAAATGGCAGCTAAAAATGATTAAGAAAATAGTTATTAAAAGTTATTTTGAACTGCCATTTTGTTATTAATGATCAGATTTCTATTTTGTTTAGGTTAATTGTTATGTTATCTCAAGACCTGTAAAATGATATCAAACTCGACTATACTTGCCATTTGAAAAGTTTGAGCTACTCCCTACCCCCGCTGTTAAGGGTAAAATTTTCTAAACTAACCATAATTAATTATTGTAGCCCTTCATATCCAAACAAGTTTCTGCAAACCGATTTCAAATTTCTCAAATAGTAAAAC